CCTTCGGTCCCCACCCCAGCACAGCCACACCCGAGTCCCTCTCCCCAGACGATACCCGGGAACCAAGTGCAGCCACTCTCCCCCTGGGATGGTGTCAGGATGAAAGTACTCGCTTTAGAGCAAAATTACTTACCTAATTAGGCACTTGGGAGCTGGCAGGAGGCAGAGGGGGTTTTGTTGATTTTTTTTAGACTTTTAACACTGAAGCTGTGTGATAAAGTAACTGTGTAATTAGGAATTAATTTCTCACTCCCGCAAGTGGTGTCTTCCTTGGGACCTAAGGGAAGTCAGCCGGTGGTTATTCACCCACAGTTCTTTCTCTTTTTTGAGGGCGGAGCACTCCCACAGCTAACCTCCAGGGTGGGAGGAGGAGGAAGGGAGTAGAAGAGGGGAGGATAACACCTGTTACAGGTGTTGTTCATGCTTGTAGATTCCCCGAGTGCCTACTGTGTGTGGTGTGGGGATGGTGTGGGGGCTGTGTCCAAGGAGGAGAGAGGCGCGCAGCCAGCATTCAACCTGTCCATGGGTGATGCCGCAGTCCCCCACCCTCGCCGGTCCACTTCTGAGGACCACATGTCGGGGGTACCCCCTGGGAAGGCATCCCAGTTGCCCACGGCAGCACCTGACCCCGAGCAGCCCCTCACTGGCTTTTCTCCCTTTCCACCTCCCTCATTGTGCTTCCAGGAATCACCTCCCAGAGGAGTTGCTGCTCCCAAGTCCTTGGCTCAGGGTCTGGTTTGGGGGAACCCAATCTAGATGCGAGCTGTGAGCAGGAAAAGCCAGGGCAGGGAGGTGTGAAGTCAGCCTGGGGTGCAGGGAGGGGATGGGCAAGGCTTCATGGAAGAGGTGTTCTGGGAGGAAGGATAAAAGTGAAGAGAAAAGGGCACTTGGCAAAGGAAAGGGGGCAGAGAAGGGTGTATTTGGGGAGCTCAGCAGGCCTACATCATGCCTGGGATGCATGGATTAGGAGCAGGTTTGGGCGGGGGGAGAGGCCAGAGGCCAGACCAGGAGGGCCTTGAAGGCTGTGGTCAGGGGCTTGGTCTTTGATCTGAGGGCAGTGGGGAGCCACTGAAGGTTTAAGTTGGGGAGTGACACAGCTAGATTTGAGTATTAGGAGGTTTGCAGCTGACTGAGGATGGGCTGTAGGGGGAGGAAGCAGGTGGGAGGCTGCAGCAGCTGTCAGGAGAGAGGGATGGTGGCAGGGCCGGTGGAGCTGTCAGCAGACTGTCCCAAGTTGGGCTTGTTGGTCATGGACTCACCATCGGGACAGCGTGCGCCCCAGGGCAGAGACTTAATGCCACAACTCTCACCTCCCAGTTACGTGCTCTGCCCTTCTCTCCCCATCCTTCTCCAGTGTATCCTCTTCCCCTCAGAGAAGAAAGAGAACTACTGGAGTCTTCACTGTGCACCTACTACGTGTTCTTTATCACTGAATGCGTTTATACCCGGTTTTGCTCCCTTAGACAGGAGAGGCAGTAGCAGCAGGACACCCCCCAAAGGTTCATGAAAGATAGAAAAGAGAGTTCGGACCTGGGAGAAATATTTAGGCAAGTGGATTCCCTGGAAGGATCCACGGTGCCAAGATCTTTCTGCTGCTAGGAACTCAGTAACTCATCACATTTCCCCTTTTGACTTGACTGCCAGGAAGCTCAGAACTAAGATTTTGACACTAAATTCTCCAAGGAATTTCTTTTGGGGGCTTTTCAGTGGGGACCCTGAGGGCTACAACTGATGAGATCTTGGGAATTTTTTGCCGAAGGTTTGTTCTCATGCTGAAGACCTGGAGGGTCAGGTCAGGGGTGAAGGGCAGGGCCAACGTATCACTCCAAGTCTGCCAGGCAGTGGCTGCTTCAGTCCCCCCAAGACGGGGTCAGAAGTCTGGTGAGCCTCCCACGAGAGGGGTGATGTCTGGGAGGTATTCAGCTCCTAAAGTTTGCTAACTCTGGGTAATCATGGGCCTCAGTGACATACATCCAGTCACAACTTGTAACTTACTCGGGCCCCCCCCCCCATATCCCCCTTACTTATTTTAGAGAAACATAAAAGGAAAGTGAACTCAACTTCTCACCACAGAGGCTGAATACACACATCTATAGAACTTTCCCATTCTCGCCCCCCCAGCCTATCCCAGAGCAGGGACCATGGTGGGAACCCCTCACTTAATCAAGAACCAATAGTCCCAGACTGTGGACCGCGGGTTCTGTGAGGAGGGACGTGGAGCCCGTGCCGCAGTGTGGCACAAGGAGGCAGGGACCAGACAGGGTTGTCCTAAGGGCTCCCACCGCAGCCGTGCCCTGGGTGGCTTGTGGCCTCAGTCTGCCCTGGTCCAGCGGAACATGGAGAGGGGTGAGGTGGGCTCTGAGTAACGTGCGGGGCTCAAACAGGTTAACGCAGGGTGAGAAGGAGACAGTCGCTGGCAGGCAGTAGGCCTTCAAAAGCCATTTGCTTTTCTTTGTCTATGAAGCATCTGCTTATGTTTATTGTGAGACTTCATGGGGACAGAACGAATCCTGGGCTGGCACCTGCTGGAGCTCAGCAGGTGAGCCCTGGGGCTCCTGGAATATAGAAGGGGCGGTGGGGAGGGGGATTCAATCTGGCATCGGCTGGAAACCCCCACCTCCAGCACACCCAGCAAAGCATAAACCAAGCCTGGGGTCCCAGCTCTCCCCAGGGCCTGGTGCCACCCCCATTGGCAGGATGGAGAGAGCCAGGGGTGGAGGAAGAGGGCTGTGCTTGTGGGGTGGGGAGTGGGGGAGGGGCTGGCTGGAGCTGAGCCTGGTGGCCTGTGATGGGGTGATGTGGGGGCTCTCCTAAGCCTGGTGTGTGTGTGTGTGTGTGTGTGTGCACACCCGTGTGAGAGCACCTGTTTGTGTGCTCATGTGTGCCACCCCCGCGGCGCCTCCGTCACACATATCTCCTTGGCTGCCTGGAGAGCTCTTTCTGCAAAATATGGAAATGACAGTTTGGCTCACCCACCGTGGAACCCTCACACAGCTCCACTCCCTCTATGCCCCCTTCTCAGATCATCCTCTGCCCTTACCCGCTGCTCCCTAGGCTTGCCTCAACCCGCCCCCTCTCCGCCTGGCTGCCGCCCCTGGCACCCGGCTCCCTCCCTCCCTTATCCTCTGATCCCTCAGGTCCCTGTCTCTAGTTTTAGGTCTCTGTCACTTTTTTTGTCATGCCCCCCTCATATGAACTTGAGCTCTGGTAGGAGTATGTGTTAATGAGGGTGTTCAAGGAATGGATGTGTGTGTGCACCGATGGTTGAGTGCCGGTGTGTGACTCTGCGTGTGTAAGGGTGAGAGAGAGAGAGAGAGAGAGAGAGAGAGAGAGAGAGAGAGAGAGAGAGAGAGAGAGAGAGAGAGAGAGAGAGAGAGAGAGAGAGAGAGAGAGAGAGAGAGCGAGCGAGAGCGACTAGAGCCTGTGCCCCAGAAAGCTGGGGGATGGATGGAGGCATTTCAGGCAAAGGAAGCTTTCACTCAATTACTCTTAAGCAGCAGGAGGGGGTGGCGGCTTTACAACAATTGGACAGGTTTGCATGGTGTGTAGGAAAAGCCTTCATTTCCTGCTGATGGTGGTGGCAGGTGGAGCTGGCAGCAGGGCTGGAGCCCTGGGGTGTGGTGCTGGTGGGGGAAAGGTTTGGTGAGTGGGGCACCCAGGGCTGCAAGCCCCATGGCCTGTCTTTCAGAGGGGGGTGGGGGGGCAGGTAGCAACTGAGCAGGTAGGAGCTGGTGGAAGCAGGGGAACCCGGAGATCTGACTCCTGTGGAGATCTGAAAAGACTTCCTGGAGGAGGCAAACTGCCTCCAAGGAGCTGTAGGGTGGATTGACTGTGGAGAGGGTGAGGCCTGAGGAAGGGAACTAGGGCAGTGGTGAGGGTTCCAGTCTTGTCTTGGCCTTTGCGTCTCTTCCCTGACCAAGTGGGTAGTGCTGAGGGTAGGGGCCGGGTCTGAGTCATTCTTGGATCTGCAGCACCTGCACTCGTTTGGTTCACTGTGAACTGCGGTGTGGAAAAGCTTTCAGGACTCCAGGGGGCAACTGCACGCAAGCTTAAAGCATAAATAAGGTTTCAATGGACAGAGATGAGAGAGGGGCAGTTTGGGCAGAAGGGATAGTGGGAGCAAAGGCCTGGAGTGGGGGGAGTGCAGTGAACCCAAGAGACTGGAGCCTGGGTGCCTACCAGGGACTGGCTGGGCTGTTCATGTGCAGGAAAGTGGATGATTCCTGCAGCCAAGTAGTGTGCCTGCCACAGCCCTGAAGATGTGGCCGGTGGTGCCCAGCCTGGTGTGAGTCTGTGGTGGAGCTCGGAGGCGGAGGCCGGGAGAGCAGGGAGCGAAGGGGCGGACCTGGTGAGGCTCCTGGCTTGAGCCTCTGCCCTCACTGGGTGACTTGGGGCACGTGAGGTCACCTGTCTTGCAGTCTCTTCTTCTGATGTGTAAATCCGGGCATCTAATCCTGCCTGATGGGCCTCTGTAGACTTGGGAGAAGTAAGGGCTGAGGGCTCTACTCAGGCCCCTGCCCATAGCAGGACTTCCAGACACCGTTGCTGCTGGGATTCTGGTGTCCAGCCGCCTTCTGGGTTTAGCCCGGGGCTCTCAGCTCCTCAGTTGCCACCTCCCCCAGGAACGGGGCTGATCCTCCCTGTTTCAGAGGCTACTCTGGAGTGGGGGCAGAAGCCACCTGGCACAGTGCTGGGCACACAGTGGGGACGACCCAAGGTCTCTGCTCCTCCATTCCTTCTGCCCCCAATTGCCCCCAGGATCTTCAGGACAGTCTAGGAAGGTGATGTCACCAGCCTCGCTCACAGAGGAGGAGACAGCTTGAGGCCACATGGCGGGCTGGGGTGCAGCCTGGATTCTGACCCCCTCTGCTTACTTACCGCTTTCAGGAGGCATGGGCGCACATGGGTGGGTGTGGGTGGCCAGAGGCTTCTGTGGTTTGGCCCATGGCCCCGCCTGTCCCTTCTGCTCTGTCTCTCACTCTCTGCCCCTTTCTCCACAGGATGGTTGAGTATTCCCTGGACCTTCAGAACATCAACCTGTCAGCCATCCGCACCGTGCGTGTCCTGAGGCCCCTCAAAGCCATCAACCGCGTGCCCAGTGAGTTGGTGCCCCTCCGCCATCCCTGGCCCCGCAGACACCCCTTCACCTAGTGCATTCCAGTGCCAGGCCTGTGCTGGGCACAGGACCTTTCAGTGACCGGACAGATGTGAGCGCTGCTCCCACAGGCTCATGGGTCGGTATTTGGACTTGAAGACGCCAGAGGGTGGCCCTGACTCCTCTGAGTCCCAAAAGAACTTGAATTGCAGCATGCTGGGGAGTCTGACTTTGCAGGGGCAAGGTTCCTTGGTGGGAGGTGGCTGTCACAGTGGGCAAGGTGTGACAAGAAGCTGCTTAGCTTGAGGGAGGGCATTTTGAAGCTTTTCACCAAGAAGGGGGTCCCTGGACTCTCTCACTTGTGCTAAGTGACTTAGAACTCCAGCTCCATCACCCACCCACGTGTGAGGGGGTATGCACATGTGGGGGGTGTACACATGCAAGGTATGTGCACACAGTGGGGTGTGTGCACATGTGAGGTGTACACACATGTGAGGTGTGCACACGTGAAGTATATGCACATGTTGGGGTGTGCACTTGTGGGGGTATGCATGTGTGCACATGTGACAAATGCACATATGAGGGGCGTGTGCGCACGTGTGTCTGTCCTCCCCGCTGTGTGAGGAGCTCATTAGATGGCTCCTGTCTGTGGAGGTCACTTCCCAGTCCCCAGCGCCAGGTTGCCTGGTTCTCTAGAGAAGGGCAGGAATGGGCCCTGCGCTCCTGGAGGCTCTAATTTTGGAGGCTGCAGGGACCAGAGAACCCAGAGAAGGGTTTGGGTCCTTCCTCAGGGGCCTCCTTCCTGCTAATAGGCAGCCGTGGGAGACCCAGTGTGGCCTGAGTTGGGAGTGCTCTGAGCTGTTTCCTTCTCTGAGCTGTTTCCTTCTCTGAGCTGAATCCACTTCTCAGCTCTCTGGCGTGGGGGAGTGTTGGGAGCAAGAACCCTCTGGGATTCAAAATATAACCAATGCCCCCCCCCCCCGACTTAGGAACGGCCTAGCGCTCCCCCTGGAAAGGACCTTAAGATAAATTCACATTCCTGAGGAACTTAACAAGAGCAGATCCATTGACCCAGCGTCCCATTTACAGGAGGGGCAGCTTTTTCCAGGTGCCACATCCTCTACCCAGAGTCCCTGGGGAATGAATGACACGGGGACACAGGCTCTCGGAAGTGCCTCCTAGAGATGTTTGGTTGGTTGCCTCCTTTTTTTCTAGCTGTTTCCCTGAAACATTTTACGTCCTCCCCTGTATCTTTAGAGCAGCTTCTGCCCTGGGATTCGTGCCTTGCAACAATAGCCCGTAGGTTTCAATTTCGCCACTAGATGGCAGGCTGGAGAGTTGGGACTAGGCAGTCAAATTACAGGTTATTAGTTACAAAGCTGTGGAGAGTGGGGTGGCTGCCTGCAGTTTAAAAATTAGTTTAAAAACACGATCAACCAGGAAGACTCAGTTGGGTTATGAGGGAATGCACAGTTCTTCCAGGAGCCTGTTGTGTGACCTGGGAAGTCCCGTAGTCTCTCCAAGCCTCAGTTTCCCTATCTGCACAAAGCAGGAGGAGGGACTGGATTAGATGTATGGTTTTAGACTTTGTCCAGGATGGTGGGAGAGCTGGAAATCAAAGTGCTCTTTACAAAACCCCATAAAATATGTCCCTCCAACCAACGCCTGCAGGTCTCTGTCCTGGCCACTCAACCACTGATGGATAAAGGAAAGGACACACACAGCATGGAGAAGGTTGGGGAGGGAGGCAGGAAGCACCAGACTGTAAGTCAGGAGGCTGGGTTGTGGCTCGTTGCTGTGTGACCTTTCATAAGTCACTAGCCCTTTCTGGGCCTTGGCAAGATGGGACTGGATTATCTCTAAAAGCGACCCTCCTGGCACCAGCTGACTCCAGGCCTCACCCAGCCTACACACTCCTTAAGCCATGGCAGTGCCTCCCAAAGTCACTGGCCAAGCCATTTAAATATGAAAAGTGCTTGTTTTCCCCTCCAGTGAGGAAGTAGAGCAGTCACTGCTAAGGCCTGAGCCAGCTGAGTCGGAGCTGCTGGCCCCATCTGTACCTGGCCACAGCACACCCGCCCCGGACAGAGGCCTGGGGAGCTCAGGCGCAGCTGGGCGAGATGCTGAGCCTGGCCTGGCCACTGCCTATCCCCCCAGAACCCCAATCCCTGGTTCAGCAAGAACTCACCTCCTTGCAGGGACCTGTGGGCTGGGCCTGGCATGGGCATTGCGGAGAGGTGGACAGTGTGCTGCCAGGACAGGGCAGCAAAGCTGGCAGTGCTGTGGGGAAGGCCGCCGTCAAGTCCTAGGTGCAGGACCAGGAACTGGAGATTTGCACTCCCCCGGCAGGCTAAGGCCTTATTCCTCCACTTGCCCGCTGTGGGGCCCCGGGCAAGGCATGCTCCGGTCTGGGCCTCCATTTCCCCACAATAAAATGGGTTCAACAATACCAATTTCCATAAGTTTTTATAGGATGAAATGCCATTATGTGTGTAAAGAGCTTGCATAGAGCCTTGTATGCAGTAAGTGGTTAATAGGTGCTGCTATTATAAAGAGCATTGAGGATGGAGGATGGTGGCCTCAGGATGTCTTCTCAGAGGCTGGTTTAGGAAGACGCTCACCAAGTGCTCAGAGGGTTGGGGAGGGCGTTCCTGGCAGACAACCTGCATGGGCAAATGGGGGGAGGAGGAGCCGGCCTGGGAACAGTGTGGCTGCACAGAGGTCTGCAGGTCAGGGGGCGCGGGAGGTGGCTTTCCACATCTTCCAGGGATGTACTAATAATGATAAATGACTAAAATTTATCAGGTGCTTACACAACCCTGTCATGGCTCTTTACACGGGCTGTATCATTTCATCTTCACAATAGCCCTAGGGTGTTGGTACCACTGTGATGCCCACGTTACAGATGGGGAAACTGAGGCAGAGAGAGCTTGAATAACCTGCCCAAGGCCACACAGCTGGCCAGGGGCAGAGCTAGGATTTGAACCTGTGCTTGTACAACCCCAGAGATTTTCGCTCCTTTTCACAAGACCCTTTTTCTCCTTTTAGTGTGTGGGCACCTCAGCCACTCATCTCATCTGCAGGGCCCGAGAAAGGACCTCTGCCCACATCCAGGGTCAACAAAGAAAGCTCTCATGGCTGAAATGATGCCCTCAGAGCCCCCTCAGAATGCCTTTCACTGTCAGAGTGCAGAGTTCTGCTGGGCCCTGTGCAGACTGAGGGGGTTCAGGTCAGAGCAGGAGGCAGGAGAGCGTACTGGTTAATGCACGGTATAACCTCTGTGCTGCCCTGGCAGCATTCAAAGCTTGGTCCTGCATTAATTAGCTGCAGGGCCTGGGAAAGATTCTTCCCTTACTTTGGTCCCTTGTCTGCACACTGGGGATGGCACACAGCACCTCCACCTGGGCTAGTCTGGGCTAGTCTGCAGGGCCAGGTGGAGAACGGGTGTACAATGAACTGCCCCATCCCAGCTTTCCTCACGAGGAAGGGCCCCAGTGTGGGGGCCACAGACTGCAGTATCCAGGGCTGTTAGATCAGGGTTTGCCCCGGTTTCTTGTCCAGTGGCTTGGCTCCAACTCTCATGCCTCAGTTTCCCCATCCATAAAATGGGGTCCCAGTCCCTCATTACTAGACTGTGGGGCAGCAAACCATGTCCAGTGAAGGTGCCGACACCTCTTGTTGATGATGTGGGGGTCTCATACTCCTGGGATCTTGGCAATAGCCTTGCTGAGAGTCACAGAGAATCTTAGAATCATCCAGCTGCAGAATCCTAGACTCTTGATTTTAGAAGAAGTCTCAGAACAATGTGGTTCTGGAGGCACAGAGTCTTCGAATGCCCATCAGACCAAGGGGCCCTGGACTCATGGGCAGCTCCTGGCCCTCGAAGCCCAGGCCTGCTCTGGCCCTTTTTTCCAGGTCCATGCCCAGCTGGGTGGTGGTCAGGCCTGCGTGCTGTGGACGGAGGAGGGAGGCCCTAAGATTTCTGCTTGGACTCCACCCTGGGGGCATCTATTGGAAAGAGAGCTGGGAGACTCACTTTGAAACAGAGCTGGAGGACAATCTCCATATTTTCACTTGGACTGTGTGTTCACTTGGAGTCTGGGGGCGGCTGAAGGAGGCTCTGACCCCAGGCACACTTTGGACTTCAGGGCTGTCTGTCCTTGGCACCCACAAGGGGCCTCTGAGGCGCCCTGTGGGAGAAAGGCCTGGCGGCCCTAATGGGGAAGGGACGGAGGGAAGGAGGGAGGTAGGGAGACAGGAGGGAAGATGGAGGGTGGGGGAGCCCGATTTTCCCCAGTGCTGCTGCCTTCCTGGAAGAGATGGGGTGGGAGAACATCTGGCCAGAACATCTGGGCAGAACCTAACTCAGGAACAGGGGAGAGCAGCCAGGACTGTGAAAGAAGAAATGCTGGGGTGTGGAGGCAGGGTGGAGGCGGCTCCCCCAGCCAGGGGTCAAGTTTCCTCTACACATCAGGGTGGAGTGATTCCTGGATGGGACAGCAGATCAAGGGAGTGGGCCGCTATGTAGTCATTCATTCATTCATTCATTATCCATCCAAAGTAGCATCCACTGAAGGGTCACTGGGCCGGGGCCTGGCTCAAATGTGGGGTCACGGAGAAGATATAGATGCAGTCCCTTAGTCCCTTCTGTGTGGGCAGACATGTGAGCCAGGAGCAATGGGCCAGTGGGACACGTGCTCTATTGGAGGCAGCAGGGCCGGAGCGCAAGGGCCGCCATGTACTTTGAGGAGGCCTCACAGAGGAGGGGGCACAGGACGTTTGAAGAATGAGTAGCTCTTTGAGCTACAGCGGCTGCGGGGACCTTCAGTGGGACCGAGGCCAGACCCACACTCTAGGGCGTGAGCATGATGGCCTTGGGGAGGAACCCAAGGCCTCTCCTGGGATGGAGGGTACAGGGGTGCTCACTCCTGGCTGGGGTTTGTTTCCTATCTCAGGAGTGGGCACTGAGGCCCCTCATCAGCCCACAGGCCACCCCCCAGCTG